CCGCAGCAGGCCGCGTCAGGGCCGCGTCAGGGGCCGCGGCAGGGCCGCGTCAGGGCCGCGGCAGAGCCGCGTCAGGGCGCCGCGTCAGGGGCCGCGTCAGGGCGCCGCTAGGGGCCGCGGCAGGGCCGCGTCAGGGCCGCGTCAGGGCCGCGGCAGAGCCGCGTCAGGGCCGCGTCAGGGGCCGCTTCAGGGCCGCGGCAGGGGCCGCGGCAGGCCGCGTCAGGGCCGCGTCAGGGGCCGCGGCAGGGCCGCGTCAGGGCCGCGGCAGGGGCCGCATCAGGGCGCCGCCAGGGGCCGCGTCAGGCCGCGTCAGGGCCGCGTCACGCGCCGCCAGGGGCCGCGTCAGGGCGCCACCAGGGGGCGCGTCAGGGGCCGCGATAGGGCGCCGGCAGGGGCCTCGTCAGGGCGCCGCTAGGGGCCGCATAGGGGGCGCGTGGGAGGCGGCGTAGGGGCCGCGTAGGGGCAGCGTAGGGGCCGCTAAAAAAATTTTTAGGGCAGGGCGCAATGTGCGCGGGCAGCTAAAAAAAAATTTCTTATGGTGGGCCCTTAGGAAGGAACGGTCCCATGTAGGAACCCGCTCTATACCATGTGAATCAAGAAAACAGGAATGAAATGACTAAGTGAAAGTTGGGTACAAAAAGGCAAACCCTAGGAAACTGTACCCCATATGTGCTACCCCACTATAGCCTACAGTAACTATGTCAAATAACTCTGACACTTGTCTCTGGTCTTCCCCGGTCCCTCCCTCCCCTTCCTCCGGGGCCTGGCCCTACCTGCGTCCCCTGTGTCGAGGGGCGGCAGCGGGCTGCCCCTCACTCCTCCCAGTTTCCTCCGACAGAGGCCCCGCTGCAGACGCTTCACATGGACGTGTGGGGCCCGGCCCGCGTCCGTGGACAGGGTCACGAGCGCTACTTCCTGCTGGTGGTTGACGACTACTCGCGTTACACCACAGTCTTCCCCTTGCGCAGCAAGGGTGATGTCACTGAGGTGTTGATCGACTGGATCCGCGCAGCTCGTCTCCAGCTCAGGCAGAGCTTCGGCTCGGACTTTCCTGTTCAGCGTCTGCACTCTGACAGAGGTGGAGAGTTCTCCTCTGGCCTTCTGCGAGCCTACTGTCGTGCACGAGGCATCCGCCAGACCTTCACGCTTCCGGACTCTCCACAGCAAAATGGGATTGCTGAGCGCCGCATTGGCATGGTCATGGACGTCGCCCGTACGTCCATGATGCATGCGGCTGCCCCCCATTTTCTGTGGCCGTTTGCGGTTCGGTACGCGGCGCATCAGATCAACCTTCACCCCAGGGTCTCCATGCCGGAGACCTCCCCAGCTTTGCTGTGGACGGGGAAGGTTGGCGATGCGTCTGCGTTCCGTGTCTGGGGATCTCGGGCGTTTGTCCGCGACTTGTCTGCGGACAAGCTGTCCCCTCGTGCTGCTCCTTGCGTCTTCCTTGGCTTCCCCCCTGACGCGCCAGGGTGGCAGTTCTACCACCCCACCTCTCGCCGTGTCCTGTCCTCCCAGGACGTCACGTTTGACGAGTCAGTCCCCTACTACCGCCTCTTCCCCTACCGCACTCCGTCCCTCCCCCCGCCACCGCTCTTCCTTGTCCCAGGTCCCCCCCCGGTAGACCCCCTCCCCCCTCAGGGTCCTGCCCCTTCAGGTGTGTCCCAGGTAGACGCAGTCGAGCCTGTCGAGGTTACTGGTGACTCTGGTGCTGCTGAGGGTGCTGAGCCTGGGGGTGCTGACTCTGGGGGTGCTGAGCGTGTGGGTGCTACGCCTGGGGGTGCTGAGCCTGAGGGTGCTACTACTGGGGGTGCTGAGCCTGAGGGTGCTGAGCCTGGGGGTGCTACTACTGGGGGTGCTGAGCCTGGGGGTGCTGAGCCTGGGAGTGCTACGCCTGGGGGTGCTACGCCTGGAGGTGCTGAGCCTGGAGGTTCTCCGGGTGCTTCGTCTCGGCGGGAGCCACTCTCTCCACAGGAGCCGTGCGAGTGGTTTGCCCGGCGCTGGAGGCGTGCTGCTGGAGCTGGAGGTTCTTCGGCTGCTGAGGGTGCTGGTGCCGCGGGTCCCGGAGGTGCTCGTACTGGGAGTACTGGAGCTGCTGGGCCTGCGGGTACGACTGGAGCTGGAGCTGCTGAGGGTGTTGGCGCTGAGGCTACTGCTGTCGGTCCTGGAGGCGGTCCTGCTGGGGGTGCTGGAGCTGGAGGTACTGCTGGCGCTGGTACTGCCGCTGGGGGTACTGGTGCTGTCCCTGCTGTGTCTGGAGTCGCCACACGGCCTAGGCCGTACTTCGTTCCGCTCCTTCAGCAGGTTCTTGGTCTCCCGCCTTCTACTGGTCCTCCTCCTCCCTTCGAGTGTCCACAGCCTGTCCCGTCACAGTTACAGTTACAGCCGGCCTCCCCACTGCCCGCTCCTTCTCCCTACACTGGTCCTACTGGAGGTCTTGCTGAGCGTCGTGAGCCTGCGTCTCGCCCTGCGTCGCCTGTCCGTGCTGCTCGCACTAGTGCTCGTGGTTCGCGTCAGCGTCCTCCTCCTGTCCCTGGCACGCACCGGATGTCTCTGCGTCCGTCCACTGCTCCTCTGCGTGCCCCTTTGCCTTCTCCTCCTGAGTCCTCTCTTCCTGCTCTTCCTGACCCGGAGTCGGACTCTCTTCGTGCTGCCAGTCCTACTGTCACGCGTCTCCTTGCTACTGTTGTCACTGACCCTTCCTTTGAGTCCACTGCTGCGTCTGCCCTAGTTACTGAGCTCGTCGACTTTGCTGCTCGCTGTCGTCTAGACTACGCTGCTAGTCTTGTTGCTGAGTCTGAGTCTGTCTGTCCTCCGTCCGTCGGGGGTGAGTGTGCCCTTGGCACGGACGTCCTTGAGGACAGGCAGGAGGAGTTCCAGTGTTTGGCTGCTGCTTCACCTCATCTCGTGTCCGTACTGCTTACCCCTGAGGGAGACCCGGATGCACTTGACATCCCGACTCCGCGCTCTTACGTGGAGGCGATAGAGGGTCCCTACTCCTCTCAGTGGCAGGCAGCTATGGACGCAGAGATGGCTTCCTGGAAGTCCACAGGCACCTACGTTGACGAGGTTCCCCCGCCTGGGGCGAACATCGTCAGTGGCATGTGGATTTTCAGGGTGAAGCGGCCGCCGGGTTCTCCGCCTGTCTTCAAGGCGCGTTACGTGGCTCGTGGCTTCAGTCAGCGGCAGGGAGTTGACTACTTTCAGACCTTCTCTCCCACCCCGAAGATGACCACTCTTCGGGTACTGCTGCACATAGCTGCTCACCGCGACTACGAGCTGCACTCTCTTGACTCCACACTGCTTTCTTGCAGGGCAGCCTGCACGAGGAGATCTGGCTGCGTCGCCCACCTGGCTTCACTGGGTCTTTTCCTCCTGGCACCCAGTGGAGCCTCCGGCGGCCAGTCTACGGTCTCCGCCAGGCACCGCGTGAGTGGCACGACACACTGAGGACTACACTTGCGGCTCTTGGGTTTGCTCCCTCTACTGCCGACCCGTCGCTGTTTCTGCGCACCGACACTTCTTTGCAGCCGTTCTACATCCTCGTGTACGTCGACGACTTGGTCTTTGCCACAGCTGACACTGCTGGACTCGCCCACGTGAAGTCCGAGCTGCAGAAGAGACACACGTGCACAGACCTGGGTGAACTGCGCAGCTACCTTGGCTTGCAGATCACCCGGGACAGAGCACGCCGCACCATTACCCTGACTCAGTCACACATGGTGCAGCAGGTCCTTCAGCGCTTCGGCTTCACGTACTCCTCGCCTCAGGCCACTCCTCTGCCTACTCGCCACTCGCTCTCAGCTCTGCCTTCGGATGAGTCCGTAGAGTCGAGTGGCCCGTACCCAGAGCTTGTTGGCTGCCTCATGTACCTGATGACCTGCACACGACCTGACCTTGCATACTCTCTTAGCATTCTTGCACGCTATGTTGCTCCTGGGAGACACAGACCGGAGCACATGGCTGCAGCGAAGAGGGTGTTGCGCTACTTGTGCAGTACGTCGGGCATGGGGCTTGTGCTTGGAGGGCAGAGTCCAGTGGTCCTCACTGGACACGCAGACGCTTCTTGGGCTGACGACCAGGCTACGCAGCGGTCGTCACAGGGTTACACCTTCAGCCTTGGTTCCGGCTCTGTTTCGTGGCGGGCTACTCGCTCGTCTTCTGTTCTCGGCTCCAGTTGTGAGGCTGAGATCTACGCCGGGGCCATGGCTGCACAGGAGCTTCGCTGGCTCACCTACCTGCTGACTGACCTCGGAGAGCCGCCTCGTTCTCCTCCAGTGCTCTACGTAGACAACAAGGCCATGCTGGCCTTGTGTCGAGAGCAGAGACTGGAGCACAGAACGAAGCACATTGCTCTTCGCTACTTCCTTGCTCGTGAGCTACAGCAGCGTGGTCAGCTGCGACTTGCGTACGTGGCCTCTGAGGCCACCACTGCTGATATCTTCACCAAGGCACTTGCGCCTTGTGATCATCAGCGCTTCTGTACTCAGCTGGATCTTGTACCTACCTTGCCTCACTTGCTCACCACTTGACCTTGTTTGTACTGTTGCATATATATATACTCCTGCTCTTGCTTGTCTAGCCTTATATATATATGTAATCCTGCATGTGAACTGGCCTTGTGGCCTTGAACTTGTGCTCGGAATGTGTGGTGACTTTGTGATCCACCCTGAGCTTGCTTTGCTTTGCTTGACTGGTCTTGTGACCCCTTGTTCTCCCCCACTTTGCCTATGGGGGTGTGTCAGAGTTATATGACATAGCTACTGTAGGCTATAGTGGGGTAGCACATATGGGGTACAGTTTCCTAGGGTTTGCCTTTTGTACCCAACTTTCACTTAGTCATTCCATTCCTGTTTTCTTGATTCACAAAAACGTGAGTCGAATGTGAGAGCAAGAGACGCGGAGGGAGGGCGAGACGCGCATGCGAGAGCAAGATACGCGGAGGTAATACGTGAGGCAAAGGTGAGACAAAAAAACGCGGAGGTAAAACGCGAGGCGCTTCAGGGAAAGCGAGAAACGCGGAGGGAAAACGTATTCGCAAATGCGAGAGCAAGATGCGCGGAAGCAGGGAAGGGGGAGGCGCATGTCTCTGGCAAAAAACGCGGAGGAAAAACGAGATGCGCATGTGAAAGGATGAAACACGTAGAGAAACGAGACGCGGATGTGAGAGGATGGAGGGCGGAGAGATGACGGGAGGCGCATGCGAGAGGAAGAAGGGGGCGAGGGAAACGTGAGGCGCATGCGAGAGGAAGAAGAGAGGAGGGAAAACGTGAGGCACATGCGAGGGGAAGAAGAGAGGGGGGGGGGGAGGGGAAGAGGAGAGGGAAAACGTGAGGCACATGCGGGGCGCATGCGAGAGGAAGAAGAGGCAAGGGGAAACGTGAAGCCCATGCGAGAGGAAGAAGTGAGGGGGGGAAACGCGAGGCTCACGCGAGAGGAAGAAGAGAGGAGGGGAAACGTGAGGTGCATGCGAGAGGAAGAAGAGAGGGTTTGAAAAGTGAGGCACATGCGAGAGTTCGGAAGAGAGGAGGGGAAACGAGAGGTGCATGCGAGAGGAAGAAGAGAGGAGGGGAAACGTCAGGCGCATGAGAGAGGAGGAAGAGAGGAGGGGAAACGTGAGGCGCAGTAAAGAGGAGGACGAGAGGACGAGTAACCGGGAGGCGCATGTGAGAGGAAAAGGAGAGGAGGGGAAACGTCAGACGCATGAGAGAGGAAGAAGAGAGAAGGGGAAATGTGAGGCGCATGCCTGAGGAAGGGGAGAGGGGGGGAAACGTCATGCGCATGAGAGAGGATGAAGAGAGGAGGGGAAACGTCAGGTGCATGAGAGAGGAGGAAGAGAGGAGGGGAAATGTGAGGCGCATGAGAGGGGGAGAGATGTTGAGCGGAAATGTGAGGCGCGTGCGAGAGTAAGAAAAGAGGAGGGGAAAGGTGAGGCTCATGCGAGGGGAAGCAGAGAGGGGGGAGGAACACATATATGTCTTATAATCAGAACCGGGGTTTAGGGGTTTTCTTATAATCAGGGGGTGTCTTCTAAACGAGCCTTCCTTACTTTAGGGGGGTACATGCATACATTCATGAATCTCTACTTCTACCTAACCCCCACCAGTCACCGCCTCCTCGCCTGCACTTACAACAGGCTCTACACCCAAGTCTGGCACTCGCCAGGCATGCCTAGCCGTCTCCCTAGGCTCGATCATGCGGTCAGCCTCGGCCGCCGCTCCGCGGTAGTTGGGGGTCTCCTGGTACAGCACCTCCAGGCCGGTTGCCACGGCCACCTCCCGCACGCCCTCCGCCTGCATCGCCTCCTCCTCCTCCTCCTCCTCCTCTGGAGCCCGACCAAGCAGGCGCGTGTTGTCGCCTGTGGTCCCCCCGAGGGACATGTCCGCGGAGACATCGGTGGTGCTCCTGGCGCGCAGGTGAGACATCACCAGGTGGTTCTCCGTTCCGTCCAGCTTGCTTGAGATCCCACAGTGGCGGAACGCGTCGATGATGATCTGCTTGGGGACTTGATCCCAAGCCTCCGCGATCCACTGCAGCACCACGGGGTGCGGAGGCCTTCGCAGGTTCCCTGCGGGTGGGACAGAGGACGGGGCAGCGTGATGTTAGAGACACGGACATGAAGGAGCATGTTTAAGACAAGGACAGGAAACAGAACAGGAATAATACCGTAAATGAAGGACCAACTCACCCTTCTTCGTCTTCAGGTGAATCCCTTCACGCATGAACCACTTGGCGTAGCGCGCTCGCACAGCAGCCTTGAAGCACCGGTTGATGGAGACGTCCAGGGGTTGAATCTGGCTCGTACAACCCGCTGGGATGACTGCAGGGGTGATGCTGTGCGTGCGGTATGACTGAAGCATGGTCTGGGTGATGTGACCGCGGTAGGAGTCCAACACCAGCATCGCACGCCTCGCGTTCTGGCCGCGCAGGGGGTTCAGATGGGGCAGCACCTCCTTGGACAGCCAGGTCTGCACAGCGCTCTCGTCCATCCACCCGTTGTCCTGTGCTTGGACCACGATTCCTGCCAGGCACACAAGGGACAGACGGGCTTCACCACAGTGGGGCACGCTCATCAGGCAGTCGCACAGTTGAATTCATTACGCTTACCTTCCGGAATCTCACAGTTGGGGACGTTCTTCATCTTGAACCACACCCACGGCCGCAGCTTCTCCCCGGATGCAGTGCACGCGAGCATCACCGTCAAGCGCGTCTTCTGGTAGCCCGCAGTGCGGATTGGGACCGAGCGCGCGCCACGGTGCTCGATCGTCCGTTCGGCTGGCATCTCCACGAATAGTGGAGTCTGGTCCGCGTTGATGATGCGGGCCAGGTCGATGTTGTGCCGCGCCCTGTTGATGCGCACGAACTTCCAGAAGGACTCGCAGTCCTTCGCGCACTTTGCAAACGGGACAAGCGCAACGGAAGCACGGGATGGTTAGACACTGGGTGAGGGACATGCATTCAATAGCCCGCGCGCGACACGAATTCCTTCAACACGCACCTGCCGACAGACGTTGGCCGACCTTGGTCTTCACCCGCATCACCAGGTTCCAGCGGTCACGGAAACGCTGGCTCCAGTGAGAGCTCGCGTTCCAGTTCTTGCCGGGGTGATGCTTCTTCATCCACTCGCGGCTCCACTTCTGGGTGTCCTTCACCGAGATGGCCACCCCGTTAGCGCGCTGAAGGCAGATGTAGCGGTACAACGCTGCCTCCATGTCGGGGTAGTGTGAGTGGCGCCCCCCCCCGTGCATCCGCTTGCGGCAGTTAGCCGCGCCCTTGTAGACGCCCGCTTCCGCCTCCGCACACCAGCGTCTGATGCAGGCTATGGACGCGGTTGACTCCACGCTCGTCTTCTTCAAGGAGCCGAGCTCCTGATAGCGGCGCGCCCACTTAAGCTTCTCACGCACGGTCCAACTGCGGCGCTTCTTCGTAGTGTCCTTGTTGCGAGGGGAAGGTGGGCGGGTGTTGGGATTATGGAGGGTGGGGTCCTTCGGCGTGACCTTCTCAGGGAACGGAGGAATCGGGCCCGCCGCCGCCGCGTACTCATCGTCGCTGCCCAGCGTCTCGTTCACGACGATGTCGTCAGGATTCGGCGCCTTCTTCGCCTTCTTCTTAGCCGCACCCTTGCTGGATCCCGGGTCTCCGTCAGATGTCCGCTTCTTGTTGCTTGTGCGGCGACGAGCAGGGGCCTTAGCAGGGGCCTTAGCAGGGGCTTCCGCGACCTTGGCTTTTCCCTTCTCCGCAGCGGTGATTTTCGGGCGACGCTCCTCCCCCGGACTGTCGTCGTCAGAGAGCACCACGCGGGCCCGCTTCGACTTGGACCCTAGGCGATGGCGCAGCCTCCGCTTCAGTAGCGGAACGTCGTCGTCTGTCCCAAGGCTCCATGGGTCGTCGTCGCCGCCTTCACCGTCAAATAAGACGGCATCCGCAGCAACCTTGTCCGACTCTGCCACAGCATCCGCATCCGCAACTGCGGCCGCATCTGCAGGCGCAACTGTCTCAAGTTCCGCCCCCGCCTCGTCTTCAGCCTCCTCATTCGCATCCAGCGCCGCTTCCTGTGCATCCGCCGCTGCCTCCGCGTTGTCACCATCAGCATTTTCACCTCCGTCGTTGTCCGAATCACCAGCCCGCCACTCTTCCACCTCGTCGTCGCTCCCGACCGGTCGATTCCACCATTCGTCCTCCTCGATGTCGGCAGGACCTAATTCGTCGCCCGAAGCGCTGTCGTCGTGGCCGTTCTCCGGCCAATCCTCCTCGGCGTCGTCGCCGTTCGCTTCGTCTCTGTCGTCCCCGTCACAGCTCGCACCGGAGGCGGCGGTAGGACTTCCCGCCTTGCTCGCGTTCTTCGCCATGGCTACACGGATGTCATCACCGGGCGAGTTAATTCGCCCGTAGTTATTCACCTGCACGTGAGCACGAGGTGAGGACTTGCCTACTGGTACTTTGCTGCGCATGGTTAGAAAGCCTGCCGAGAGCAAGGTTGAGACGAGTATTCCTAAACCCTTGAGCACCAAATGAAGTGAGAGCCCGACTACCCCCCCCAGCCAGAGTGCCCCATCCACAGGTGCCGAGCCGCTCCTCTACGAGGCATCTCCTCGTAGAGGACATCCCTCACGCTGCCAACGTGCTGCCAGCAGCGTTTTGGAAGCATCCCTGCGCTGCTGGCAGCAAAACGACGCTGGCAGCATCATTAGATGCTGCCAGCACAGAGGAATATTGCCAGCGGTGGCAGCTCCCTCACGTGGCAAGTGTGGGCGCTGCATGCATCACCACCGAGGTCGGCCTGTTTCAATGAATCTGGTCTCTGGGTGTTTTCTACACACTTTGCAAGTGTTACAGTCAACTTTTTTTTTTTTTTTTCCATTTATAAGACTTATAAGACACCCTAGACCATCCCGTTTACAAGATAACTCAAGCATTTTTGCCCGTGTACGAGATAAGACATATATGTCTTATATCCGGGCGATGACGGTAGGTGTATTTGAACATGAGCCACTCGAATATTCAATAACATTTAGGATATAGAATGATTTTCCCTACGCAAAATGGGCTTCATTCGCTTACATTTGTCGAAAAAAACAGTCGAAATTGGTAATGGTAATGGTACCGTAATTGTCAAAATATGTTCGTCGCTTTATATAATTGTTTGTGGTTTGTAGTGTAATTAGGGCGTTTCCATGTTCGGGTTATGAGCACTGTTCTGGCTACTGTTTGGGTCATGCGGAATTTGCGCATGACCCGAAGTCGGCTGCCGAGCCGCGCGCGGCCCCAACTTTGGGTCAATGTGCAGGCATTGGGCGACTGACGTGCACGACCCACCCCCAACCAATCACCTGGCTGCACGATTCTGTATTTACTGCCATTTTTTGGCGGTCGTCAGTCGAGTGTCACAAGTGGGCAATGTCCCACGTCTTACACCTCAGCACCCAACCACTCGGCAAATTGACCCCAGTGAAAATGAGTTTGTCTAAAATTTCCCGCGTCGCGCTCCCAACATTTGGGGATTCACGCCGGGAATTTTGACGATTGTGTTTTTTCGGTGGGTTTCGCGTGGTTTCGCGTGGATCTTACGAACTGTTCTGGCATCCCTTCATTGGATGCGACTGTTGTGGGGAGAGTGATTTTGGCGCGAAAACCCTCGCGACTCTTTGGGGGTCGCAGGAGTTCGGATGACCCAAAGTGGCGTTTTATGTTGTTTGGGTCATCCGCAAATTGCGGATGCCCGGAACAGTGCCCATGACCCGAACATGGATACGCCCTTAGCTAGCCTTGTTTGTGGTGCACCACTTCATGCATTGTTACTTGTATAACTTGGGCCGTTGGCCCTATAGTAAACCATTATCTCTCCACATTTTTGGCTCAACTCTCTCGTTCTGCCTTGGCCTAGGCTACTAAGCCTAGGCCCTACCCCAAACCCTAGTCCTAAGTTATATTAGGAATTTGACAGTAATGGTAATGGTAATGGTAATAGGAATGATAATCGTAATGGTAATGGTAATACCGTCATCGCCCGGATATAAGACATATATGTCTTATCTCGTACACGGGCAAAAATGCTTGGGTTGTCTTGTATTTGGGACGGTTTAGGGTGTCTTATTAGTCTTATAAATGGACAAAGATCCGTTTAGAAGATACCCCCTCGTTATGCAATTGCCCCTAACCCCTACACTTGCATAACCCGTACACACAAATAGGTGTCTTATAATGAGGCTAGCCTGTTTATAAGAGACACCCGAATAATAGACAACCCCTGTCTACTATTCAACACTGTCTACTATCCGGGCGATAACGGTAGTAGTGGTAATGGTCATAGTGATGGTAATGGTAATGGTTATGGTTGTGGAAATGGTAATGGTAATGATTATAGTAATGGTAATGGTTATAGTTATGGTAATGGTAATGGTATGGAAATAATAATGTTAATTGTAATGGTAATGATAATGGAAATGGTAATGGTTATAGTTATGGTAATGGTAATGGTATGGTAATAATAATGTTAATTGTAATGGTAATGATAATGGAAATGGTAATGGTAATGGTGATGGTAATGGAAAACTTTTCTTTGCGCAAGAAACCCAGCTGAAAAGGCTCTAATAGGTGTATTTGAAGTTGAGCCACTCGACCATGCAATAACATTCAGATTGTTGAATGTTTTTCCCTACGCGAATATGGATTCATGCGCTTTATAAGCATTTGTCGGAAAAAACACCCAAAATCATAGGCGCCGAAAATGTTCTTTGCGCAATAACCAAGCCGAAAAGGTTTGAACATTAGCCACTCAAATATGCAATAACATTCAGCTTGTTGAATGCTTTTCACTACGCCTATAGGGATTCATGTGCTTTCTAAACATTTGTCAACATTAACAGCTGATATCATAGGC